TTTTCAAAAATTCAGAACGAAGGATACAACACAATAATACGTACTAATTCTTTCTATTTTAATTAGTTGCATACAAACTTAATATCGGATATTGATTTTGATAAGTGTTATGAGTAACTCAGTAGCCCCTAGTAACCCAGCTAGTAACCCCCTCCTCCCCTTCTTTTGTATTTATACTTTTTTAACTTTGCTTCTTTGTCATAGGTACAAGAATTTCTTTTTTTATGTATATATTTGTTTCACTTTAAGGTTTTTAGGGGTTTTGTGTCTTTATTTCTTTTTTAAGTTTTCTAAAGCTTGAATTTGTTTCCCTTTTTTTTTATTAGATCACCTAATTAGAGAAAGAATTAATTGCATTTCTTACCTTTCTGTTAATGTCGCCACGTAAATCTGGTGGTTTGTCTTAAAATTTGCTTTTATACTATAGTTTTTCTGCAGAATATTGTATGAGTAATAAAGAGTAATAAAGAATAGAAAACAGGAGGTGGAAATGTTGTGTAAAACAGTTCTTGTGTTAAACATGCTTAGTGACATATTCAATTAAACTATAAAACAATTATCCTGCGAAATTAAAAGCAGACTAACACCAAGGAAAAATGTATTTTCTTTTTAACGTAAGGTCAGAACGGGTGTAGCTGTCAGTTTAAGTGTTTCTGCAGTGACAGATACTCCATACTAATTAATTTATGAAGTTTGGATAATGAAGGTTAGACCTATGAAAAAACACCAAACAAAATGTCAAACATGTTAGAATAACTCCTCTACTTGTTTTACATACAATCGTGTGGGCGTTAATACGTAGTGTAGCGGGATCAAAAAAGAAAAAAAAAGACCTGTTCAGAAGAGGAAGAAAGGTTTTGCTTGGGAATTGAAAGAGAGATCGGTTGAGAAACAACCTTCAAAAGAAACTGGTAAAGGAAGTCCATGAGGTTTAGGGAAAAGAGTGATTATGAAGACTATATCAGAGGAAAACTGTGAAAATAAAATGAAGACGTTGGTGGGGGGTGGTAAGAGAGTCCCTGACTTAGGGGAGAGGAAAGAAGAAAAGAGGTGAGATGAGAAGAGTTGTCGAAAAGAGAAGAGACTAAAAAGAAGAGAAGGGACTGGAAAAGAAGAGAAGAGATTGGCAAGAAAAAGGGACCAAGAGAGGGCAGGAGTGAAGAGAAAAGAAGAAAGGAAAAGAGATTGGAGAAGACATTGGGAAAGAGATTGGAAAAGAGGAGAAGAGAATGGAAAATAGGCTGGAGAAGAGACTGAAGAAGAGGTGAATAGACTCAAAAGAAGAGCAAGGACTCCAAAAGAATAGACTAGAAAAGGGGAGAAGAGACTGGGAAAGAGACTGGAGAAGAGACTAGAAAGGAGGAGAAAAGACTGGGAAAGAGAAGAAGAGACTGGAAAAGAGACTGGAGAAGAGATTGGAAAAGAGGAGAAGAGATTGGAAAAGAGGAGAAGAGACTAGAAAAGAGGAGAAGAGACTGGGAAAGAGGATAAGAGATTGGAAAAGAGGAGAAGAGACTAGAAAAGAGGAGAAGAGACTGGGAAAGAGGATAAGAGATTGGAAAAGAGGAGAAGAGACTGAGAAAGAGGAGAAGAGACTGGAAAAGAGGAGAAGAGACTGGAGAATAGACTTGAAAAGAGGAGAAGAGACTAGAAAAGAGGAGAAGAGACTAGAAAAGAGAAGAAGAGACTGGGAAAAGGGATAAGAGATTGGAATAGAGGAGAGGAGACTCTAGAATAGACTGGAAAAGAGGAGAAGAGACTGGGAAAGAGGAGAAGAGTCTTGAAAAGAGGAGAAGAGACTGGAGAATAGACTGGAAAAGAGGAGAAGAGACTGGGAAAGAGGAGAAGAGACTGGAAAAGAGGAGAAGAGACTGGAGAATAGACTTGAAAAGAGGAGAAGAGACTAGAAAAGAGGAGAAGAGACTAGAAAAGAGAAGAAGAGACTGGGAAAAGGGATAAGAGATTGGAATAGAGGAGAGGAGACTCTAGAATAGACTGGAAAAGAGGAGAAGAGACTGGGAAAGAGGAGAAGAGTCTTGAAAAGAGGAGAAGAGACTGGAGAATAGACTGGAAAAGAGGAGAAGAGACTAGAAAAGAGGAGAAGAGACTAGAAAAGAGGAGAAGAGACTGGAGAATAGACTGGAAAAGAGGAGAAGGGACTGGGAAAGAGGAGAAGAGACTGGAAAAGAGGAGAAGCGACTGGAGAATAGACTGGAAAAGAGGAGAAGAGACTAGAAAAGAGGAGAAGAGACTAGAAAAGAGGAGAAGAGACTGGGAAAGAGGATAAGAGATTGGAAAAGAGGAGAAGAGACTGGAGAATAGACTGGAAAAGAGGAGAAGAGACTGGGAAAGAGGAGAAGAGACTGGAAAAGAGGAGAAGAGACTGGAGAATAGACTGGAAAAGAGGAGAAGAGACTAGAAAAGAGGAGAAGAGACTAGAAAAGAGGAGAAGAGACTGGGAAAAAGGATAAGAGATTGGAAAAGAGGAGAAGAGACAGGAAAAGAGGAGAAGAGACTGGAGAATAGACTGGAAAAGAGGAGAATAGACTGGAAAAGAGGAGAAGAGACTGGGAAAGAGACTGGAAAAGAGTTTGGAAAAGAAGAGGAGAAGAGACTGGGAAAAAGACTGGAGAAGAGATTGGAAAAGAGGAGAAGAAATCGGGAAAGAGGAGAAGACTATAAAGAAGAGAAGAGACTGAAAAGGATGGGAAGAGACAGGAAAAGAGGAGAGAGACTAAAAAGAAGTGAAGAAACTCAAAAAGAAGAGAAGATACTGGAAAAGTGGAGAATAGATTACAAATGAAGAGGAGAGACCCAAAAAGAAAAGAAGAGACTAAAAAGAAGAGAAAGAGACTAGGAAAGAAGAGGAAAGACTAAAAAGAAGAGAAAGAGACTCGAAAAGAAGAGAACAGACTAAAAAGAAGAGAAAGAGACTGGAAAAGATGAGAAAGAGACTCGAAAAGAAGAGAAAAGACTAAAAAGAAGAGAAAGAGACTCGAAAAGAAGAGAAGAGACTGTAAAAGAAGAGAAGAGACTGTTAAAGAAGAGAAGATACTCGAAGAGGTAGGGGTAAATTGGTTGGGATGATTTGAATGTCAGACCCTTGGACCTGCTTCTGTGACAGTTGCAAGTCAGGTTGAAAACTTTGCAGATACAATCAGGACCATTTATTTCTGAACCGTTAGGTTGGCCAAAAATTGAAAAACTCTTCGAGCTAGAAGGAAAGGGGAAAAGAGGGGAAAAAAGTCAAGATGAAAGAGACAGTTAACAGTGGTCTAGTTGGGTAGGATTTGTTAAATAGAGTTATTCCCCTTTGACCGTAATTGAAAACTTTTGGTTTACGGTTGTTATATCCATGATTGTAAATCGATTGATGTTTTCAAATTTACTTTTTTTGCAGTCACCTTTCGTCAGATACAGGCAAAATTCATGGCACAGGGACGACAGAGTCAGTTAACAGTGGTCTAGTTAGCTAGGATTTGTTAGAGTTATTCCCCTTTGACCGTAATTGAAAACTTATGGTATATTATGGTTTCAATATCAAAATGATTGTAAATCGATTGATGTTTTCCAATTTACTTTTTTGCATTCAGTTTCCGTCAGAAACAGTCCACTACAGTACTTAGAATAAACATATAATGGGCTTTTTTCTTGTCGGTGTAAATTTTCTAAAACAAAGAAGTCAAAATTTTCCTGTATCCTCAAATTTCCGTGATGTGATTGGTTGATAAGTAGGTCAGGTTGGGCTGGCTCGAGAATCGAGAAGTGCATGAAAGCATGCCGATTTTCTAACGGTATATTTGGAGTAAAGGCATGAATTGTGATCAAAACGAGTGAACAGATTAGCTCGGAATCGTCGTTAAGTAATCAGCGATGACAACTCAAGCCTCGGGATCGACATTGACAGCAGAGGAGTTGAAAGATTTGGAGGAATATGACAGGTTAGTTGAAGTTCTGACTTCTGTCCGGATTGAGACTGATTCTTTAGGTTAGGAGGATAAGTTTCAGGCCAGACAAATGGCCTATTTATTTGCATAATTTATTAGACTACAACTCTATATTGAAAAGATACCTTTTGAACGAATTGATTTTGTTTTTTTTCTAGCTGTTTATTTGGTTTCATAAAGTTAGATGAACAAAGTGGTGCAGGAAAAAGGGTTTTACTGGAAAAGGTAAATAAAAGGGAAATAACTCCATTTTAAGGCATTTTTAATTGATGATATGTAAAGTATAGTTATGTTCATGTTAGTGTTTGCTACTAGACAGAGTTGTAGTTGTGCCGGAGATGTAGACTATTAACTAACCTTACATATGGTACTATTAACTGATAGCTTGCTTTACATACGAAGAAGGCTCAGTTGATCACTCACCAGCAATTCTATGATTAAAGTCAAATCTTAATATTGGAAATCCCTTTGATTTCTCGACAATGCCTGTACATTATGTGATGCTGTTCATATTTAATTATTAAATAAACTTACATTGGTTGAACAAAATTACAGAGAAATTAATGAATAGGCATCACTGCCATGCCTTCAATATTATATCAAAACATAGCGGAATTGAGGTATGGCATATATACACTTAGATATAAAGTACCGTACTTAAAATTAAGCGGTCGTACGTTCAGGGTAACTACCAAATATGTTGTGTCGATCAGTATGCGTAGTTTGGTTGATATAGTCAGACATCGGCTGCTGATTGGTGGAGCGCGCACGTGCATTCATAACAAACTATTGCACACATTTGGTCTCATTCTAATTCCATTCTTCGTGAACCAACGGAGACTGCTGATGTTGACTCGAAAGTTGTTGCACAAATAGCTGGATAATCAACACTTTAAACAAGGGAGGTCAACTCCCGTAACAAAAATCAAATTAGCATTAAATTATTTATAATCTTTTAAAAAAATTTTGCAGGGCATATCTCATTATGAATCAGTTTTGCGTGAACATATCAAATCAGTGAATGCTGAAAGTGATCGAGATAATCTACCATATTTAGATCCAGCTATATATTGTCACCTGGGTCATCTGAATTTATTATTAGAGCAATTTGCTAAAGGTAAGACTTATGTTAAGAAGTTTTATAATATAACTTCCTTCTCAAGTTGGATAACTCTTATTGTTAGGCTTAACAATCCTTATCCTTCCAGTAGGTATAATCTTTAACAAATATATGACTAATGTAATATACCTTACAGAACAAAATCTTCATTAAATTTTTTGAAATTGATAACATATTTTTATTAATCATTTATGATTTCAGCTTTATCAGCTTATCAGAAGTATTTCAATCTACAGGCTGACAATTGGAAGGTAAGGAACAATTTAATTAGCTGATTACTCTTCGGCCACTGTCCTTACTTAATTGTGAACAGTGTACGGACATCTTGATCAGCCTTGAAATTGGAATTAATTTGATGAATGTTCTTGAGTTATTGCCCTTGTCATTTGAATTTGGTCTGTAATTTCGTTAGGAGACTATTTGTCCCATCTTGATATTCTTGTGTAGATTATGGAGCTCTCCAGGCAATTGTAAATTGGCTATAATTCCAGTGACGTTTTTGAGTTATTGCCCTTTAATTTTAAGTAAAAATACATATCAATTGGTATGCAGAAGTATATTGATGATATTTTTGTCAAGTTTGAAATTGATTGAAATTTTTTTAGATAAAGTTTCAACGCATGCTTCCTAATCTGAAGTTCATTTATGTGAGAAAAGTTGTGCTTGTCATGAATTCTGATGGCTTCCAGTGGGTGTATGTTACCTCATCTGTCCAGCTATCTTTTTTTGATTTGCACTACTGATAGATAATATACAACACTTTTATTTTTAGAATACAGCATTTTTATACGGGTTGGGCCTGGTATATTATCATTATAATTCATTTAATTGGTAAGTAAATCTTGAAACTTTTACTACAAACATATATACACTAATCAGAAACTTGCTTTCTCATTAGCAATATTTTCCCCACAAACATCGCCAAACACTAATCAAAATCTCGTACAAAAACATCTATACATTTATTAGAATCTTACATTCTCATACTAAAATATACATGTCGTAAACACAAGATAGCAGGGAAATTGGGAATTTTTCACCTACTACATTACCTAGTATGCTGTCCCTGGTTTTACTTCTAGATACATGTAAAGTTTACCTCAAAAACATTTTAGCCTTAAGTTTCTTTTGAAAATGAAACACAAAATAACATATTGCTTCTGATAAGCTTATAATGAAAGCAAAAGATAAACCAATCACATCATTTCCCACCTTCTCTAAATTATCTTTGTTCCTACATTTTGAAGTATCTCATGTGAATATTGTCTACACATGTGCTATAGAACTACAATATCTATACAACCTTGATGATTAGAAACATTATTGTCCTTGTACCTTAATAGGAAAATTGTTGTATAACTCAGTTTACAATAGATTTTGTCAGAATGAGCAATAATTCAATGAATCAGTTGGTCTTATAGTCTGCTCTTATTCTCACATAAGCCTTTTACAAGGTGCAGATTGCAGAAGATTCAGATGTAAAACCCTTATTCAATGTCAACATGCATGAATTGTACTTATTCCACTTATTTCTCTTCTTGTAGTATAAAGCCTGAAGCAAGTGCCAGACTTTTGTCTGTGAAACATTGTTTCTTTTGATAAATGTCAAATGTGTGCTGCTAATCAGAACATGAACACATAATTTTGAAAAAAAAAAGTTTTTTTTTTAAACAGATGAAGAATTGTTGTCTGTGTCTAGCTTTGCATTGACATGTTTTGTTTCACACAATTGAGACATCACTGTAATGTTGTAAATATCAATTAACCATGTTTTATCTTGGCTGGCAATTCAACTGATTCAGGTCAGACAGACAGCAATGGGAACGAAGCATGGCCTGTTTTCATTATAAACCAGTAGACTGTAGGAAGTAATTCACAATATGATTGAATAAAGGTCAGACTGTATACAAGATATCTAGGTTCTCAGTATTGATTGATTGAGGTCAATATCTCAATATTGATAGACTACAGTTCTATCTTACTTAACCTAATTTTACAGCTGGTACAGTTGTTTTCAGAGTTTCATGTATTTTTTGTGTGCCTATAAACTCCAATAAGCCACTTTGTCTGGGTACTCATAAGTAGCCTTTTTTGGGGGTTTCTGTACATATTCTATATAGTTATTTCTTTTTCTCAGTATTGGTTTAAATTTGTATTATTTAGCTTTCAAACACTAGAATGAAGGCATAGTTCAATTTGAGTTATTTGTATTAATATGAAGTAGAGTTATCACCCTTACCCTCTGCCCTCATCCAAAAACAAATAGTGCAAAACAGTCAAGGATTAACATTTTACTGGTAGTATTTTCTAGTATTCATAGTGTGATAAAACATTGAAAGCACTGGCCAAGGTCACATATAAAAGATATTTGCTAGATAGAAAATAAGATCAAGTTTGTTTTGACATAGCAAGTTAAATTACAATAAAGCTATTCAATATTAAAGTCTTCTTTCCATCAATTCTAGTAGATGAAACCATAATGGTTTATTTGTCCTTACTTCAATAATGTTGATTACTAGGTCAGTGTGACCTATATATTTAGCCTAATTCTCTAATCATTGTATACAAAATCAATAGATCTACACAACTAACCAGGTGCTAAATTAGGTCAAATTTATCTTTTATTTCAATTTAGTGATAAGGGGATTAAGAAATATTTAAAAAAAAGTATAGGAATTAAATAAAAGTTTTGGGTTGTAGAATTCAGTTTTAAGTTCTTGACCAAATTTATTTAAAATTGTTAAGAGACGGGGCTCTTTCCAAGGTTTGATACAATATAAGCTTATACAGTGTATAAAGGATGCTTTTCAAATCAGTCCCTTTGAAAATGTAATTCCTCTTTATCCTCGTGCCTTCTGTTGGATAGTAATTTGTTACCTTTTAACCAACTGAATCTCTATATTTAACACAAAGAAAGTTATTATGATGTTAAAAAAGCACAAGAGTGTATCAACCTATGCTGAATAATGTTCTGAGTAAACCTTGGTAGTTATTTATGAAAATGTTAATTGTTATGTATGGTATAATTATGTATAATTATATGGTTGAAAAGTCAGAAATGTCTACTTGTAAATGATAAACTTTCCCTTGAGCTTCTGTAGAAGAATGTTAAACTAGGTTCTTAGTCTTAATTAAGATTAAAAGGAAGAGAAATTGTAAGTAATTTATCTTATAGTCTTGTTAAATGATGGCTTAGAGAGATAATCAGCAGGAAGAAGCCAAGTTGTACATGTCGTCTGTTTTACCTCAGGCATTAGTTTAACCAGTTGTAGAAAGGTGTTTGGGTTCATGTTATCTTGACAAGAAAATACCAACTTGTGTAATAAAGGAAATGTCAAGTTTTATTTATATTTCAATTATAAAAATGTAATAAGCATGATAATTTCCAATTATGAATTAAAGAAACAGGTACCTTAGTCTCAGAAACTGTAATATTTTAGCAGAGCTAATCAGTAGTAGTGTTAACAGTTAACTGTCGAAATTTGAGCCATCATGTGTGTCCAGAATTATCTGTATTTGATTGAATGTTAAAATGACGACTCGTCATTTTAAGATACTCTGTGATACATTAAAAGACATATAGAAATAGTGTGTAAAATTCCTAGTTTGAAGTATTTTTAAAGGAATTTTGTGATTTTCGTACATTTTTTAGTACTTCTGAAGACTATTTACATATATTCAAGACTAAAATCAACCCCCCAAAATGTCCCTTTAAGCCATGAATAGATAAGAATGGTGTCCAATATGACATAAGATGCAAGATAATAGATAAGCGCCTCACAGTAGAGATTTGACGAAATGAATACATGGTTCTGGATACGTTGCTGACACAATTCTACACAATTTGATGATCCTGAGTAGAAACCTTACCTTGTTTATTTCCACCTGGATCTATCTAGACTGTTACCTTGTATATTTCCCAGACTGTGTATTAGGTCTAGGTCCCCAGAAATACCTTCACAATGTCAAGCTTTTAATAACTTCATACTTCTACCGTGACTGTAAAAGTCACCTTTCTTGTATCATGGAAGTTAAATAAAGTAATTTGATTGTATGTACTCTAGCGAATATAGCCAATAAAAGACCTCCACAGAAATTCTGTAAACATAAAGCCATGATGTTGACAGCTTTTCTGTTGAGGGCTCTTTTCGGTTGTATCCGCTTGCATACAATCCAATCAAATCGCTGCATTCTATGATACAAAAATAGTGGCTATTACAGTCTAAGTATGAGACAAAGTTTGTAATAGCTTGACATTATGAAGACTCAGAAATACTGGAATTTAGTGTTTCTAACCTGATGTGTACTCTTTTCATTATGTCTGGAGGCAACTCTTTATGAAATCTATGCTGGTCTTTGTTGTTAATGATGTTGTTGTTTATTATAAAACTAATTTTGGATATATTTATTTGAATGTCAAGGAACAAATTATATGATTTAACTTGAAATGAAGTGTTTCTATTAATGTCCGTATGTAGAGTTCAACATTCCTAAAGGCATGGTAAAAAACTTTATATTTGAACAAGTTACAATTAATTAGTCTTTGTTTGCATTGTTTAATTAAATTAATTAAAATATATTATTATCAATGACCTTGATCTACAGTATCTTCCCCGTCACATCTTATCAGTTTGAAATCCTTGGTAGACTTTAGTGTTATGTTAGAAATATATCAGCCTTCTTTTTTCCACATTAAAATTTTCAGTCAAGACAAACATCTATGGGTCTTTCAGTTCCATTAAAAGGAAGCATTTTATCAAGTCAAAGTTGCAAATCCTACTTATATTATTTATTAGCTTTTGTGATAGTTTGGAATGATGCAAATAGAAGTTATAAATGGTCATTATGCAAATTATAAAGTTTAGAAATCCTCTTTACATTCCCTTCACTTCAAATCAATACTTCACATTCCTAACAAACTTTCTCACTCACATGTCATAACTTGTGAATGAATTTTGACATGATAATCCCAGGGGAGCTATTTATTAAAACATTGGCCTGCCACTTACACCCCAAGACCCTAAATACCACTAACAAAATAAATCATAGCTTTTGACTAGTAGCCACACCCCCTTTAGGCCAGTGACCAGACTTCACCATTGAGCATGCTCAATGATCCCTATCTATATATGGTAACATGACCCTTTGAACCCACGACTGGGCTTTTGTTCAGTACTCTAGTTAAACTGAAAGATGTATGGTAGCTACTATACATTAAATGGTGTCTAGATATTTGGATTATTTCTCAGTTTTAAGGATATTTTTGGATATTTATAATTTTGTCTAAGGTAAATACACTATATTTGTAGATTTTTATTCAGCTTAATAAAATAGAGTAGACATAGACAAGTTGTAGGAGGACTAGTCTAAGTGACCCACTAACTGGACTATTTATACTCTAGTGCACAAAGAAAGTTATATTTAGCTAGGAAACATGTGGAAGGGGTGAACATGTAGAATGTCATCTGTACATTCTATACTTATCATTTTACATCACAGTTGAATGTCTTTCAACTTTCTTTGTCTCTAGTCTTTGTCAAGCTCAACACATGTTATCCTAATAACTTCTTCTTTATCTTTATTCCCCTCTTGTTTTGATCAAATTCACTGATACAATTTATTTTCTTTGTGAAATTGATCTTGTCATCTCTAACAGACAACTTTTAATTATTATTGGTCAGGTGCTCTTTTTGTTCACAAAATAAAGAAATCTTGACCAATTACAGGTTAAAATTGAAAATAAAAATCTGTATATAAATAGATTGTGTATCTTCCTTTCAAAGACAGAATGTTCATATTGTATAATTAATTTCACCTAATACAACGATTAG